TTGTATGTCTTTTAAGAAATCTGCTTTTTTATATATAGTATAGAAAAATACAAATATTTTAAGGATCTGATATTATATATTTATAGTTGGCCTTCCTTGCAGTCCAAACTATTACCATATTATAGAGGCAGTGTATGTTTATTGTTTCAAGTTGTTCAAATTACAATGCAGTTGTTGAAAATTTATGAATATGTAGCATAATATGAGTACACCTACACTGAGAAAATATTAACATATTTAGTTAATGTTTACACTGGAACAGCTAATCATACTGGGGATTTCACCTATATATTTTTAAAAATTTTAGATAATCCTTTAGATTATCCTAGCATTTCACTCTTTGATCATATATTCTACAGATTTATAATTGCTTTCAGTTTTTTAAAAATAAAACCATTAAATTCATAACAAATACAATATATGATGTATGTACATTTACAAAATAAATAACATTTATACCTATTTACATATTTACAAATACTTCAATAAAAATAGCAATAATTAATCATGAATTTTTTTTAAAGAATTAACAACATTTGGCAGTAGAGAGTAAAACTTTATAATATTCCCATTTCATAAAATGTAATGATTCAATATTCTTACCAATAATCATTTAAAGACAGGCCTTATAAATTATTCAGAAGTTTAGAAGAAATAAATGCTTGTTATGTCCTCACTTTTTCTGAAAATGTCGGACAAACAAATTGATTATTTCATAGGCTAAGCATAATTAGAAATGACCTAATATAATAATTATATATTAATAACTGATTACAAATAATAATCTAAAAAGTTAACATTTTCAATTCTGTATGATATTCATGAAATGATTGGTCATTAATGAGATGATTTCATCAAAGGGAGGGAGACAATATCACCAAAAGGAATGTATTGAACACTGAGAGGTGCAGACATTATACATACATATATTTGTCTATGAATAATCGCTGGAACGAATCCACATGTACCTTGTATGTGATCTAGATCACCATTTTAATACGACCAGCACTAGTGACCATGTTGGTTCCCACATCGACCCTGTTTTATAATTATGTTTATAATCTTTCTTTGGCTGATAGGGACTGAGATCAATGAAATATATAGCAGTAATTCATGTGTAAAATCAAACCCCAAGCAGGATAAGGTAGTTGAGCAAATGAAATTCTTCTCTTTTAAAGTTTAAAGGTACAAAAATAAAATGTGTAGATGAATTTAAGAAGGATTGGATTTTTTCTAAGCGAGTCTCTTCATCATTTACTTCCAAAAAGATTCATCTGAAAAACACAGAAAACATGAATAATTTATATGTGTATACACAAATAAGTAGACATAGAACCATGCACACACATACACCAAACATAAAGTGCAAACAATCATTACAGTTGTTGAATACCCTACTAAGGTATGCATCGAATCCCCCATCCATAATCTACAACCCATCCTAAACACAGTGCATTCATCCATATTACTTTTACTGATTCCAAAAATGTGCTACTTATGCCAAACATATACCACTCATCTCAAACTAAGCTACTCACCCTAAACATGTCTTTAAACTCTAACACAGGCCATATTCAACCCATATAGGCAAAACATCACAATCACAGTCTACTCATCCCAAACATGGTGTTTGCATCCTAATCTCAGTCTACAATGTAGACGCTACATATCCCAACAAGTATATTCATCCCAATCATACTCTGCTCAAAATAACCATAAACTATTCTTCCCAAACATACCCTACCCGACCCTAGTCTACTCAATCTAACAATAGGCTACACATCCAAAATATACCCTACTCATCTCAAACATGCTATATGCAACCCACCCATAGATCTATCAATACTAACCAATAGGTTATTAATCAAAAACATAAGCTAATTTTCACAAACAGTCTACTTAATCCAAACATATGTCACTCATCCCAACCTCATTCAAATCATCCCAAACATAGGCCACTCATCCTAGAAGTCATTCATCTCAGAGATCCAGACCACAGACTCATACCAAGTATTGCTTACTCATTTCAACTTATACATCCTAAACACAGTCTATGCATCCCAACAGAAGTCCACACAACCTAATCATATTCTATCCCTATGCATATAATTATTCCAAACATAATCTATTCATCACTACCCAAAGATGGGATACTGTTTCCAGCTGGAAGAAAGAGTCCACTGACAACTTAACTACATAACACAAGCCATTGATCAAGAACGCTGACCATTTATTTCTATTATGTCATCCAATGATCACCCATCCCAACATCTCAATAATTGACAATCTGTAGAGGATTCTAAACATACATCTTTTGACCATCCCAAGTTTAATCAAACTTACCACTGTGTCTCCAAGCATTTGAAAACTTGGTCGTCTTTGGTTATGACTGGAGGGAGCGTTATCACCAATGCCCAGTGTCCCAAATATACTGCCTCTACTTCCCCTTCGATCAGAGAAGTCCTAAAATAATTACAACAACATGAGACAAAACTTCTCACTCACATGTCAGTTCTTAATCAATCAGCATGCATTTTCATGAAGCAATCCAGGAGTGAACCAACTTGTTTAGCTCTGTTGTTGCATTTTCTTACCAAAAATATTACAGTTATATTACAGTACATTGACACAAGGAAGATATAAAATAATATTTTTTCGGGAGTTATATAATATATCCTAGCATAAGGCCCATATGCTTGTGAAGGAGTATTTATTCAGTGATAAATGTCTTAATGACCCCTGGAAGATCTCTCTACAGCAGGAATTTATCTCTAATAGTAATAATGCACATCCATCATTTTGTTTTCTTAACCTTCCAAACTATGCAAGCATTCAACTTCTCAGGACTCGATAGGCTTGAAATGTTCTTATTCCATTTTAAAGTTCAAGTTTTGAACTTAACTATTTAATCAAGATTCAAAAACACTAACCAATTAGCTTCTACAATTTGCAAATATAAATCTGTACTGATACTAATGATAACCACAATGAGATCAAAGTTAATGTTCAATTTGTGTATATTTTAATAAGACCATTGTATTGTATATATATATGAGCAGTAGTTCACTCCTGCATGTAGCAGTTGTAGTTAAGAGATTGAAAGACACAATTAGAAATATTGAATAAAACATAAGCAAACCATCGATACATACTTTCTGTTTCATATTTTACTTAATTTTTTTTCTTTGTAAATGATTTTATATTTAAATTTCTTGGATTTCAGATTGACTTTCATAAAATTTTCATTAATATATTCTATTTAAATATTAGTATATTTAATACATATAGAAAAAAACTTAGATGAAGTACAAGTATACGATATTAGCCACAGAGAAAAACAAGATTCTTAGATAAATTTTGAATACATGCGCAAGATATAAATACACTCCGAAAACAGGAGAGTACACCCACATTATAGAATACACATTGGAGCGAACGCACAAACATTAGAATAATTGAAAAACTGTTAATAGGTACAAAATACGTTCGTGCATTGAGCAGACAGTAGACAGTACAATGACATCATCTGATGTTATCAGAGAGACAGATGCACTACGATTATCACCAAAAAGACAGACAGAATTTGGAGCGATTTAGACGCAAAAGTTAGAACATCAACAAATTGCACAACATTAGAATAATTGGGTTAGTATTTTAAAAACAAATAATTTAAATCATATAAAACTCATAAATCATAAAATAATTTAAAAACATAACTGAAAAGAAAATTATAAAATAAGATTTAGACCACGATCAGCAGATAGCAATAAGTTTGATTTGGGGAGGAGAACGGAGGTTGGCATGTAGTATTTCAGGGAAAGGGAACAAACTAGGTTACTGGTAATCTAAATCAAGGTTCAGGATGCATATATACACGAACTGCAGAATCCAAACATGACATCTTATATCATAAGGTTGAAGGGGGTTTGGTGGTGAGGAAGCATGGAATTAGTTAATTATGTCACGCTTCAGAAAAATGTTTTAAATGTTACCTGTTTGTCTATACATAATTGTTATATGCACCAAAGCAACTAAATTTTTGTCATGTTCTTTCTTTCTTTTTTATAATTCATAATTTTAATTCATAATTTTTTACATTAGAATAATTGAGAAATATTAACTGAATAAATAGTAAAATCAGAAAGAAAATTAACTGATTTTGTATAACAATTTAAATAAGTGAAATTTAAAAAGTGCATAAACATAAAAAAAAATAAGTAAATAAACTAAACAATATCTATTTTAATTCAGTCATCCAGTGTTAAATAAATTAATCAAAAATTGAAAAACTCAACTATATCAATTTTAATCCAATCATCCAAAATAGAAAAAATAAATGATTTATATCACATTAAGTTAGTGTAATTAGTATGTGCCATTTACGATTGTCATTCAAAGCTGGGAAAACTTTAGTTTTATCTTGGTGTTGGGACACTGTGCCGCTAATAAAATGCTTGCTTCTACTAAAATAATTCATCAATATATCATGCTGGATTAAATGCTCTAGTAAAGATAAAAAAAAACAGCGGGATACAAAATTTGGTTTGGTAAATCACGGTGTTAAGACGATGTTGGATGGATGCACGGAGGGTGTTAGTGGACAAATTGTCTGCCCTTGACTTACTGGTACTACAAGGGGTCCAAGACTATGGGTACTCGGCCGACGGCTCCCTCTCTCGTGATATTTCTCTCGCTCCTCTGTAAAACAGTTGAACGGAAAGACTCCCAGCGAATGAGTACTGGGTCTTCTGGGTCGTTCCGAACTCTCCCCAAACATACTTATCGGCAAAAACCCAACACTATGGGTGCTTGGGCGTCTTGACCTATCGCGATGTAAATCTCCGTAGCCACTTACACTGAACGGACCAAGACTGTGGGTGCTGGGACGTCGGGGGCGATCTGCATTTGAGTCTTCACTAGTTACACTGATTGACGGGTGATTGGGCGGGATTAAACTGTGACGACGAATCGATTCTGTTGGTTTATCCAACGTACTTTTTTCATCCTATAAAAAAGAGAGTAAACAATATTATTCATGATGGATTTGGGGATTTTGACAATATAATTTCTATGCCAACACCCCAGATGATACTAATTATTCATTTGGTATCTTTATATTAAAATATATAAAATAAAGATATCACAAATTGGTGCACAAATACATTTTCCCAGATTTTATGAAAAAAAAGTAACCCACAATTTTAGAATATTTAAAAACAATCATCCAATTTCAGCTCAAAAGAGGATACTGCCAATGTAGTCTATGTGGTTTATTTCTGAAAAACTTAGATGAAACTCTTTAAAGAACATTTATTTTCTTTATAGTTGCTAAAATCTTTTATTTGGGTCAGAATTTTAAAACTTTTCAAGTGGTATTGTTCCTAAATTATTGAATTGATCTGTTTTTGTTTATTTCCATTATACTGACATTAAAATAAAAGCTTTTAAAATAAAAACGGATTTCATTGAATAAAAAATGAGATTTTACTTACCAAACTCATACCAAGTGATTGCAAACTATGATTTTTACGATTCGTTTTGGGACTAGAGATTTTAGGACGTTGTTGTAATTCTGGGGTACTTGGAGCTGAAATATGAATGTTTATAGCTGATTTCAATAGTAAAACATGTTTAAATATCTAAAAAAAAAAATTCTTGAAAATGTAACACAAATGATTTAAATACAAGTTGTATATAATAAAAAATGCTTGATTAACTTGCTATGTAATTAAAAAACTGAAATATCATATTCAATAACATCAGCAACTGAATTATGTAAATTGTGGATATTAAAACTTGGTACAAAGACATTTCAAAATTTATAATATAAATCATGGAACTCTTTAAAGTCATTATTAAATTTGGATGAATGCAAGGCTATTTGATCTAAATTCCTAATCTCTAATTAGATACTAGAGAAATTACACAATCTTCTAAGCCTACAAACAAGACATGTATTTTCTAATTCACAGGAAAACTAAAATAGTCTTTGATCTACTGATATTCTAGATGTCCAATTCTTAATAACTTCTGAAGTTATGCCTACAAGCTAAACTAATTTGACTATAAACTCTAAATGATGTAGCAGCAGAATCATTTTGTTTTCTGATAATGAGGGAAAACAAAATCTATATCAATGTGTGCCTAATTGTAACAAACTGCATCAAAACTAAGGCATTAAACACAAGAGGAATTTTAAGGCTCTTTTAAAAGGTTTGCAGATCTATCCAACTACATTATTCTAAATGCTAAGAAAAGAACGGACATGAGTGAGATATATATATGTGTATATATATATATATATATATATATAAAAGCTTGAACTTAGAAGCGCAAAGCAAATAGCATATATATTATACAGTTACTTACTTTTAAAACGCAAATCTCTACCAAGACTCAATAACTCACACTTTATTTTCAAAATTATAGGTGTTATGATTGCTTACCTATAGCTACAATATTGTCATGACAATTAATGGTTAAGATTAAAGGTTCTAAATTGATAAATATCTGATAATAGCTGCTTTTGGGACCAAAAAAACATATTTTTGCAGTATTCTCAAAAATAATGTTTTTGTAAATTAGATTTACCATACATTTTACATGTACTCCTATTTTTAGAGACTTCCCAACTGTGTATGTACATGTATATACCATAGTCAGGCCTATTGATCAAGTTGCTGGAAGGTGTCTTTCAGGAAGAAATAATGTTTTTGTAAATTAGATTTACCATACATTTTACATGTACTCCTATTTTTAGAGACTTCCCAACTGTGTATGTACATGTATATACCATAGTCAGGGCTATTGATCAAGTTGCTGGAAGGTGTCTTTCAGGAAAAATGAAATATATGTAGGTATATGCAGTATACACAATGCTTCAACTCTAAATGATCTACATAGAATCCAGGTTATAGTTATAAATTTTGAAAGTGAATATTACATTAATTTAGATATACATGGAAGAGCAGATCAACATTACAAGGCAACAGAATATTGTACAAATAAAGGAAATTCTTCCAAGAGCCTGATATTAAAACTTTAAATTAAAGGGACAACATACCTATAATGTTCTATAAATACTAAAACTATACTCTATAAAAGAAATGTAATTATGCAAATCTGTGATCATGTATAGCAAAAATCAATTTAAACTAATAAACATAAAATGGCCTTAATATAAGTTAGAAATGATCAATTATACACTATAAAAGAAATGTAATTACGCAAATCTGCAATCATGGGTAGCAAAAATCAAGTTAAGCTAATGAACATAAAATGGCCTTAATATAATTTAGAAATGATCCATTTGAATATTTTTTCTTTTTTAGGACCAGCAATAAATTCTGATCTATGTTTAACTTTTATCTAGAATGTTGACCCTTTAATCAAAATTATCATCATTTACTTAAAAGATCTAAATCTCTTTGATTTAGGCAACTAAATCAGCTTTCATCTGATGTCTCATTTTAATTTATGCTGTTGTAATTTCCATATGATTCAATTTTTATTTCAAGAGTTTTATTTTTGACTTACAGCTGCATCTCAGTGGAACACAAAATTAGTCATATCTCACCCTGACTTTATCTAGAGATTTAAAAAAAAAACTTCGCAGACAGAATGTCACCCCACAAAAAAAAAAAACAATATATAAACCAAAACAATGTCTGCAATTTTATTTTCAACCCAAATCAAAGAGGTCTAGTCAAAATTTAAGAACTGGTTGTCCAGTTCTAAGATTCATCCATCAGTCGATAGTGTCATATATTTTTAAATGATCAATAGAACACAATATCTTATAAGAAAAGGTGATTTGTTGTTAGGAAGCTGAATAAGCAGATATTCCAAAAGACCATGCTATGAGATCTGAATAATAGAAATAAATGAAAGAATACAAAACAAGCAAAAAGTGATACATTACATGTATACCAACCAGTTTTTCCACGAGTAAATACAGTGGTACTACCACACCGTTCATTAACCATCAATAGACTCTGAACGTTTCCTAATCCGTTATCACTACCGTCTTCTCCACCTTGCATCTTAATAGACCCCCTGAAAATAATTTCAGATAATTATAACTGACCAGAGGTTCAAGAAGTGACCTTCATTTGAGCCTAAAATGTAGCCTACATGAAAATGATTGTGTTTCTTTGCCTCATCCTAAAGATTAGCAGTTTTCGGTACATAATTATGCTTGAATATTTTTAAATTCCTCTTTTCAGTACATCATTATGTTTGAATGTCTTTTAAATTTCTCTTAAAACAATAAGCAGTTTTCAGTACATAATTATGGTTAAATATCTTTTAAATTTCTCTTAAAAAGATTAGCAGTTTTCAATACATCATTATGTTTGAATGTCTTTTAAATTTCTCTTAAAACGATAAGCAGTTTTCAATACATAATTATGGTTAAATATCTTTTAAATTTCTCTTAAGAAGATTAGCAGTTTTCAGTACATAATTATGTTTGAATGTCATTTAAATTTCTCTTTAAAAATCTTACCTCGGTGGAACAGGAAGTATAACTGTTTCTAATTTCATTTTATTTCGTCTTTGTCGATCAATTTGCTCTAACATTTCTCTCAATACCTCCATTAAATCACCAAACTACAAACATACAAATACTGGTAAAAATTCTGAAGTGAAAACTTCTGGTGATCTTATTGTACTGGTAGACTTCACCTTGGCTGAAAAGTCCTGACAAACTTTCTGAGATAACACTGGAATGAAACCCAGTTAGTCTTGCAAGCACTTTATTCACCGAGCCACCCTTCTCTTACTGTACATGAAGATAAAATAAAAGACCACTAACCTGTTCCATTGAAAGTCCTGGATTAACTGTATGTGGTATCAAAGATGGCATCACTTTACTGGCTATCAAATTGTGAGTTAATCCAAACTTTTTATCACTTAACATATGTTTATATACACCTATAATAAAACACAAGTAATCCTGATGGAGAAATAATAAAATCTTATAAAACAATCTCTTAAGCTTTCTTTGTGTTAGATAATAATTAGCCAGACTGATGAATATTCATTAGAAAGATACATGAGACATCAAGTCTGTGCATTTCTTGGAAATGACCTCTGCAGTGAGTAAGTTTATATTTGAGAGCTATTTTGTAAAACCATGGATGTTTAGTAATTTATCACCTGAAAAGCAAACCTTCAGCACATTCAGTTCATAGACCATTTATGGGGAGGATAATGTTAATTATAATTAAAAGTACAGTCATTCTTCATCCTTCAATCAAACCTACATCTTTGTGACACATTAAAACAAAACCCAGATGAATTAGCTTACCAACAACTGCCATAACAACATCAGCATCTTGACATGTAATATCTGTTAAAAATGGTAAAACTTCATCCAATATTAACATCTTACCCAGGCTATCTAACATATGATCTATACATGTTAATGCATTGATTCGTAACTGTAAAAAATATATATATCAATATATAAATATATCTGAATTGATAAATACCACAAGTTTCCCCCAGCATCTGACACTGTTTGGGACTCATATTTACAAAATCATGTATTATCTCTTTGAAATGTATCAAAGTTAACACAAGCTACAATTTCAAACACAACTACCTAATTCATTACAAGGCGATGTTTTGACAAGGATACTATCGCCTCTATCAAAAACTATACAAATATCTACATGATAGATGCCACATCTGGCTAATTTACAAGGACCAGATGCCTGTTTAAACATGCAAGAGAAATAGTCATGAACAAAAGTGTTACAGGGATATCATCATTTCCCAGTTGATCCAATGTTGTAAAATTATATGTGCAGAGTTTTGTTCAATTTTCATTTTATTAAAAGAAAATGTAATGGTTTAGGTATAAACTTGGACAATATAGGTCAGTTTTATTAAGTCATCTGATAAGCCTAGTGGTCATGGGCCATGGTTATAAGAGCAGTGCACTTGGATTGCTGGTCATCATATAACCGGACAACAAACTCACCTTCACATTCGTAGATCTATAAAACAATGACTTGGCTCGGGGCAAAACCATTTTACGGATAATGTTATCGTCTAAATACTCCTTAATAACACTAAACGCACTCAACGCAGCTTCCTGTCAAACAAATGAAATAAAGTCTGTATAAAAGCTGACACATACAAATTATTGTAAAAGTAATGAAGCCATAAAAATCTCAGTTACTGTGTGGCAATATTTCCAGACAAATACATTGGAACTCTCAAGTTGTCAGACAGTGTATTATTCATGTTAATTTCTATATTCAAATCTCTTAAAATATGTTGCAAGATGATGTATTTTTATTGAAACAACAATATTTTACAGTTCCAATTTACAGAATACATCTGTTCAATTACAATTTACATGAGCATGGATTTCTTGTAAACACAAAATTTTAATTAATTATAGTCTAGCAATGAGTATAGTCTCTTAGAGATTTTAGCCAACCAATTATGTGAACCCGTTTCCTTACAAAATAGATATCTAACCATTTTCCTGGAGATCTCAGGGTTACCATCTTATCATGAGAATATGGAAAGATAACTCTATCAAATGTATTCATTTACAATCTCACACTGTAAAAATTCAAGAGGGTTCTTCTGTATGTGCCCTAATAAACTAACACACAAACTTTTAAAGTATTCAATCAAACTTTGTTCTGTACTGTGTTTCAGGATTTCAGAAAGTTTAAAATAAATCGGATGATAAATCCTAAATCTTAAAATCAAAATTTCATATACAAGTGTATTTCGATAGGATTTCTCAATAGGGTTTCACATTCACAAGCTTTAAAGGAACTAAACCACTAATATTTGCGAACTAGAAATTGACTCAAATGGGTCACAAGGCATATAATAATATATTATGAATGTATATAAACTGATTTGTGTACCAATGGTAAAATGCCATTTGTCTTATATATTAGATATTAGAAGCCCATCTTTTCACAGTAAGATAACAACATCAATGTTGATTTAAATTGACAAATAATTCATGTTTTCAATGTCTAACACTTTGGATGATATTGAGTTAGAGACTTAGCTACTTTAAAGGTCAAAATATGACCAGAATGACAAATCTGCAAAATGCGTTCAGAATTTACGAACTGAAAATTTGTAAATTTGGTAGGGTTCTTCCTCATAACCTAATGCCAGATCTTGCTGACTTTCATAAATCCGACCATAAATTAGGTGAAAAATTTGCAGCAGCGCATCCTGGCAAATCTGAATTATATCTGCCAAGAAGTCTGACATGTACAGTGTGCACAAGAAATTGTGGACATTCACTGCACACAGGTGACGACTATCTTTTCACTTTATGTGGGAATATAATATACAAAATAGTAACTTGAAAAATACCTGAGCTTGTAACGAAGATGAATCAAGTGTATTAAATACCAACGGAAGAACTTCACTCTTGATCTCCTCTAAAGGAGTTTTGGCCAGGATTACATCTAATTTATTTAATATATACACCGTAGCCTAAAATAAAGTACACAATTATCATATGTCATAGTTCTCCTCTCAAACATTAATTCTTATTTTATCCAATTGATGATATCTAAATACCAATAAACTGAGATCTCTGGGAAATCAGTAAGTTTTGACAACCTTTAAATTTTCCCTCCTTTCACACTTCTTGGACGGCTACACCAGGGAAATTATTGAAAACTACAGAAGATACTCAATAACAAGTACTCTCCTTAAATATTCTAGTCTAAAAATTATTTGAAGGAGCTAATCTTGCTGATTTACCATAGATCAAAATAAAGTGTTGATTTGATATTTTATTTCATTTCTTAAGCAGAAGTTTGGCTTGTTTACTGATTTTTCAATACTATACAGTTTTGTTGCACTTGAAATGACTTTTAAAATCCGATAACTGGAGTCTTTTAAACAGGTTAACAAAACAACTACATTCTACATGTATATTTTTCTACGGATAAAGAGATGACCATCCGGTAGAGAATTGGTTGTTCTTCCATATGAATCTTAATTAAATACGTAATAAAAATGGAAAATGTAACTGTATAGATGTGCTTCTTTTTTTTTTGCCTTCTGGATTCCATCTACTTTTTTTTGCTGAAACTGTACAGACTAGAAATCAACAGTTTGCAACATACACTTACTTGCACCGGTTTAGAAGAGGACATGATACTGCGGAATTCTGGGAGAATAATATCAACATAATCATCACGTGGAGCAAAGTCTATCATCGTTAACATGGCTGGTAAAGCATAAACCATAGAATCACATGATCGACAATCCTGGCATAATACAGGGAAGACATTTCGGTAAAGAATTTTCTGAAAAATAAAAGTGAAATATTTAAAGCAAATGTTCATGTGATATGAAAACATTGATACGTAATTTTAAAAGGGGAGTGTTAAAGGTAATTTGTGCATGAAAGTAGTGCAATAAATTCTCTTGACAACAACCTAGATATAAAGACGAGAGTGCCATCATCAAAATGTTGCAATTTAATAATCCAGTGGGGAACAACCCAGTGATTATCTAGAATTGCTATGCAAGACTCAGAGTTGCTCAGCGAGTAAGGCGCTGGCTTACTAACCAAATTATCCTGGGTATGACCCCAGTGTTGACTGAGAAAGTAGGCTACTTCAGGATTTGTAAGTATGGTTTCCTGTTATCAATGCTGTAGGACATGCATCTGGAAAGGAACAGTATAGTCATTCACAGGAAACAAAACAAAAACCATAGTGATTATATTGAAACACAACTTACATTACAGGAACATTTAACAAAAAGAGATAACAGAATATATATATTTACCCTTGGCATGATGGGTATAACTTGTGATAAATTTGCATAAGCATCTGCTCTCATAACGGGATCTTTACGATCAGCAGCATCTAATAACTGTAAACCTGATACAACAGGATCATTAAAATACTTTAACTGAAAAAATAAAATAACATAGGTGAAATCAAGACCTACAAAACACATGGAACAAGGTCTCTCACATGTTTGGAATGTTATGGTCCTGTCATTGTTGGTTGAAGTTAATCAGCTAGGAATGGTCCATTTATGCACATTTGGTCAAGTTCATTAATAAAATGGGAGCCATGGTGACACAGTGAGTAAGGTAGTGGCCAACTAACCAATGGGTCCAGGTTTCTATGATGATGTTGGCCTAGAAATTTCCAAAGACTTCTTAGTTACGTGCTGTTTCCCCTTGTCAGAGGTACAGAACAGAGGGCCTGGTAAGAAACTGCATCTAGTCATTTGGATGGGATGAAACAACAAGGTCCTGTATACATGTTAATTGGTTTGCACATCAAAGAATTCTTGATACTTGGAATCTGACAGAAGGCAAAATTTCCCTTCAAGCACACTACATGGTGTATGCCCATCTTTAGCCACTCAATTTTTGACATTATTTTCTTTACCTCAGTTTAGCTAAGTATTGTTTCTGTGTGTGTGAAATAGCTTTATTTAATGTCCACTTCCATCAAAGTGTTATCACAGACAATTATTGTTTCTAAAGAATGTGGTAATTTCTAGTTTTATCCAAATTGTTTTACCAGTATATTTTTTTTGAGCAATTTTACATATATGTAAACAATAAGGTTGTAATTCTTTGAAATTCTAATTGATAGATAAGTTCTTTAGCAGTCAATGTCACTTAGACAATTCAAGATTTGCAAATATGACCTACAGAGAAGAGCGTTTGAATTAGCAGTCCAGGAAAGGTCAAATATTTCTGTCATATATACAGCCTGGACGGCAGTACTTTAAAACATGCTTCAGACTTTGTAACCTTTATGTCATTCATTTACTGAATTCAATATCAGCACTTTAAATTTCATTCTGCTAATGAAACACAGATTCAAGTCTACAAGTAGTCTTAACAAGAAACATTATGTTTTTATCATGTCCTGATGTCAATAGTAAAGATCTGGGTCTCTAAATTATAGTCTGACCTACTTACAGCTCATTTCTTTGATACATAACATCGATCAGTGTCAGTAATCGTGGCAACCTGTCTTATTACTTAACATACCATGAAAGATAAGAATATACACCTATAAGATGCAGTAACTCACAACCAAAATCAATATTCATTTATATGTTTACATTTGAATCATTTTTGAATGTCTGTTTTAAAAAAATTGATAAATTTCCGTTTACAAAAATTGATAAATTTCCGTTTACAAAAATTGATAAATTTCCGTTTACAAAAATTGATAAATTTCCGTTTACAAAAATCGACAATTTTCAATTTTAAAAAATATTTTATACATCTGCAGTTATTATGAGACTACCATATGCTGCAGTGACTGGACATTTTTGGAACTTTTGATTCAATTCCTGCTGTCAAGGATTCTTTTAAATGAACATTGTGCTTGTGTCCCATCTGAACAACCAGGCAACATGTGTACATCACTTGTTAGTTCCAAAGATGCCAACACTGGTCTTGAAAATTTTCTGCACCAACTGGGCTATTGAAAACGAGCACGAGAATTGAATGAATGTTATCTTATAAGTGGATTCTGATACTGGTAATAATAGCACGATAGAAATGAAATGAAATGAAATGAAATGAAATGGGTCTTAATGTCCTAGCATGTCAGAGCCCAACATTTGGTTCTGTATTACAAATTACTTTGTTTAGTTTTTATATTAGCTTTTACATCCAAATAAAAATAGAAATTTGGAGTGAACAAATGTAATTATAGGTCTAAACACAAATCTCCCTATGCCATGCACATATTTCCAAATATTTTGGTCACATTAAAAAAAAAATCTACATCATAATCATTTTCAATTCCCATTGCCATAGAGCAAGCAGCTAGTATATCATTTAATCTCAAATATGCCAAATACTATCACCATATATTACATTTCACGAAAACAAAAGGCATAATTTTATGTCCAAATTGTTAAAGTTGCTGTTTAACTAAAACAGTATTTATTAACAATTGAATCATAGAAAAAAAAGACAAAATGTGTAGACAACTTTACTGTTGCGTAAATATTACCAGAATCATAACCATAAAAAATTGATTGAGTTAGATTAAGTGGAAAACCCATGAGAGTGGTTTACTTTTATTGGTTATTCTCTTCCATTAATGTTTTACTTAAAGTAGCTAAGTCTCTAACTCAGTATCATCCAAAGTCTTCGACAGTGAAAACACAAATTATTTGTCAATTAAAATCAACATTGATGTTGTGATCTTACAGGGAAAAGATGAGCTTCTGATATCCAATATTTAAGACAAAATAAACATTCTACCATTGGTACACGAATTGTGTACCATAATGCGTTTCAGCTTTATTTGAAACAAGGGATTCGAAGAACAAACCTAGACACATTCTACAAATCAGGTCAAACGGTGATGCCATATTCTTATCTCGAGAGCATGTGCAATAAATACTATCGCTGTGGACTGGAATAACCAGAAGCTAGAGATTGCCATTCAAGTGAGACTTCTGGCGTATTTCACCGAACATAACCAATTTGAAATTAGAATAAAAACAGAAACGATTGAATGTAAATCAGTTTATATACATTTATATTACATTATTATATGCATTGCGACCCATTTGTGTCAATTACTAGGTCCTAAATATTAGTGATTTAGCTCCTTTAAAGCGACATTTTCTTTTGAATACTTCTTAAAATTTAATTAAAGATAACCAAGAGAAATATTAATTATCCCAAAAGCATCTTAGTATGAGATATTAAACTTTAAAGCAAGAACTTTATTGTTAAATAATGAAATTATTCGCAGAAAATAAAGTTTTTTCATTAATCAATACTCTTTTGAGGTAGTGCTTGGGTATTCCCTCAGTGTGTATTAAAATGCCAAAAACTGTAATGGTCATGGTAAACTAAGAAAACTGACAGAGTTTATGACCAGTGGTTCAAGTACTATGCCACTAGGGTCATAAAAATTGACATTGTTACCCTAAATCAATGATGTACAATATCATTATAAAATCAATATTATACCATATTATAATAAAATCAATGATGTACGTTACTATACCAAAATTTAGGCATTTGGATGGGATAAAAAAAAAAGATCCTGCGTTCGCATTACAATGCATGTAAAAGAACCCTTGACAGTTGCAAATTGATGAAGAATAGCTGGAAACACCACTATCTTGGAAGCAAATCCCCTATTACACTCTTCATGGCATATGCCGGTCTTCATTATCCCGGATGGTGCACCAAAGTAAGATCTTAAAGCCCATTGTATATCTTTCAAGATACTTATGACCACTGCTTCCATTACTCAAAACAAGACAAAACACACCAATTATTGTCTTTCTCATGACTACTTGTCTTAAATGCTGGGTTTTTTTTGGGGGGGGGGGGGAGAGAAGTTGAATGAAATTTGTCCGAAACACAAAATATTGTACTTACCATACAGAATAATTGTGCAGTTGGTCGATAACGAACATCTCTATTTATCATTTTCTCTACAGGTTCAACTAATTGTAATGACATCCGATGAGCAACTACACCAAATGTTTCATGCATCTATAAATATAATAAATGTCTTATTCAAGTATCATGAAAAAGAAAAGATAAACTAAATGTATTATGTAGTATCAATTTCATTTTGTCTATTGTCATTTTAGTTTTCCAAAATTTAAATGGTCATACTGTGATCTGATGCTATTGCTTGCACATAAGGGTATTTAGCGAGGTTCTGCAGGAGACCATACTCCTTGTTACATATATATGCGGGTCGGATCTCGTGACAAAGCTTTACAATCTAAAGTGCATTTGTTATGTCAGATGCCTAGCCTCCTGGTTCAAAAAGCAACCCTACTGCTTGCCATGTATAATCATGGGATTGGCCCAAGGGCAATTCTGGACACAGAAAGAATATCTACAATATTCACAGTGTAGCTCTGTAAATCACTAAGACATTCCTCTCTCAAGTCAATAAATGTACTTATTATAACTAACCTGATCAAGTTGTTTTACATAAAGGCCAGGTAGATGATCAGCACTTATTAACGATTTACCATAATTATGTATAGCACAGATAACCATACCTAGAGAAAACATATCACTTAATGGTGTACATATTTTCTCTAGTTGTACTTCTGGTGCTATAAAATTTAAGTCAGGTTGTGCCATTTTTGGTACTTTTGTTGTCCAGGATTGACACGATGACTTTTCCTGAAATAATTCAGAAGAGAAATTGTAATATATTGGAAGAAAGAAACAACACAGATACCCTTCCATTCCAGAGCAATTTTTGACAGATCAGCTTCTGACAGATTCATTTGACACATTGTCAGCCATGCATGATCTAGTCTGACAACTGAGAACCAGGCTGGAAAATGCAGAGTGTTGTGCCATTTTTGATACTTTTGTTGTCCAGGATTGACACAATGACTTTTCCTGAAATAATTCTGAAGAGAAATTGAAATATAGCGGAAGAAAGAAACAACACAGATATCCTTCCATTCCAAAGCAATTTTTGATACATCAGCTTCTGACAGATTCATTTGACACATTGTCAGCCATACATAATCTAGTCTGACAACTGAAAGGTCTGGAAAATGCAGAGGGTCTTCTTGTCCCTCACATGGATTTCGAACCGAGGATATTACAGCCTCTCCCATCCCAAGAAATGATTATTTATGAATGTCTTGATAAATTCAGATTTACACTCCCGTACATTTTTTTTATCAGTTTTACTCAACACAAGATTGAACTTAATGTCAGTCTGTGTCAACATTGTCTAATCGATAGAGTCTTTCTGTAACTCAATAATCTATTCCCGAAAATATGATCAAAATCAGTTTAAAACTTAACTCTATAGAATGAGTACAATTATGAGTCGATGGACAAACTGATGGACGAACATGGGCAACAACAACATAAAACCACATTTACATGGTCATTTTAAATAATTCTGAGTACTGACCAATATGGAAACCTTGCAGTCACAATAAAATAAAACATTTTGTCAAAGTGGAGATCTGAAGGATTCCTATATTTAATGTCTGTATATATAATAATCACATAAACTAAACACATGGCCTATTGACTTCTAATAACTGTTGAAAAAGTGAGCAACAAATTCTGAGACCTTTCAAAATTAACCAGGCATCACTGAATGGGCCAAATTATAAATAACATGGATAAAAAACAATGCAAAAAAACTTTTGACGGGCTAATGTATATGATAAAGGTAATTGTTTTTCCAATTCAATATTTACTATCTAGGTGTTAAAAGTTCTCCCATGGTTAAATAGTTAGTGGTTGTGAGTGCACCACAACCCTTCATTCAAACTTTGGAAATATAAGAGGTTTTTTTCAACAAATTATCTCTTGATCCCCTTCTCATGTAACTGACGTCAAAAAATAATTTGAGTAAAACCTAATAGAACAAAACCTCTTCGATATCAGTCAAATTAAAGCATTAATTGAATTGGGTTAATCTATGTATTATTTCGATTGTGGAGGGGAGAAGCTCAATATGATTAAATTTTTGTTTTCAAATAGTAAGTCTAAGATGAAGTTTAGTTCATTCTCTGCAAAGGACCACAGAAAGGCTTAGATCTCAACTTTGGAAGTAAAATTTTGAATAAAAATAGATTGTCATCTCAGAAACAAACAAATAAAATACAGTGAATTTGACAAGTGTAATTTTATAACAGACATGGTCTAGAAACTGACTTTTTTCAAATTGCCCAGGATACTACAAATTAATGTGCAGGGCACCAGACTCTATTAATTTATCAACTTAATCACGCAATATAAACCATTCCAAAACATTCATTCCATTTTCTTATTACGACCCAATAGTCAACAAAAAATGTTTGTAAGCATGAAGTATAGAACAGGTTGTAGATGAGCCTACACCATTGATTTTTTGAAAAGCTAGAGGATCTCGGTTGGTGTTTAATAGTTATATAACGATGACAGATGGAGCAAGCGGCTAGGGTTAAAAAACATGGACTGACATCGGACTAAGATGAGATTGAAGTCGCAAAACAGGAGATTACGAACAAGACATCAGGTTATATTGAATGACAACAGGCAATTGTTAGTGAATCCTCGGACTAAAACCTGTATGCAAAACAGAAATGGGTGATTGATACTTGATAAATACAATCTAGATCTAGTCATCTACTTGAATCATCTTAGAAATGATATGGAAATTTTTTTTTTTTTTTTTGTATCATCAATATACACCTTGTAATGTTTCAAAATTCAGAAGTTCTAGATTCACAGTAGTGCTGGCCTGATATATTGTTCAATCGATGTATCATGATTCACCGTCTGACAATTTGCGTTTTGAATAGCAAGATGCTGAATCGATGTATTGCGATTTTTTTTGTCACTTCAGTAAGTAACCTGTCACCCTTAATCATCCTTGTCACACATTATCCATAGGTCCTTTTTGTCCTTGTTTTGATCCACATATGGTGATATAAAACAGTTTTATTTCTTTGACATTGGCAGGACTAACAATATCAATTATTCATTATCCTGTTGTTTTCTTAGTACATACGAGGGGTGATTGATAAGTAGTGAGTCTAACACAGAAAGAAACAAGAAATTCAAATCAAATGCATTTATTTTTCAACATAGTCCTCCTTCAATGTAATACACTTCTGCTATCGGTGTTGCAGAGCCTTTATTCCAGTTCTGTAGAAGTCTTTGTCTTGGGTGTGTAGAAAATCATCCAAAGCGGCAATGACGTCATCGTCAGATGGGAAATGCCTACCTGAAAGACAATTCTTCAGAGCAGGAAACAGATAGAAGTCTGAGGGAGCTAAATCAGGAGATTAGGGTGGATGCTGAAGAAGTTGAAAACCACAGTCATGGATTGCTGACATGGCAACAGCTGATTTGTGCACTGGCGCATTGTCCTGGTGGAAAATCACACCTTTGGTCAGCTTTCCTCGTCTTTTGGTCTTAATTTCTTGCCTCAACTGCCTTATAAGTGCTGCATAGTATCTACCGTTAATTGTTTGACCCTTTTGGAGGTAATCCACCATGAGAACACCCTCAGAATCCCAGAATACTGAGGCCATTACCTTTCTTGCCGATGAAACAGTCTTTGCCTTCTTTGTGGTCGGCGACGTCCACTGTTTTGACAGCTCTTTTGTTTCTGGCTGAAAGTGGTGGACCTAAGTTTCATCCATAGTAACAATTTGTTTTAGGAAGCAGTCAGGATCGGTTTCAAATAAGGCTAAATTCTCTTTTGACATGATGTGTCTTGAACGCTTTTGATCAGGCGTCATAGGCTTTGGCACTCATCTTGCTGAAACCTTTGTCATTTCCAAAGTTTCAGTGATAATAGAATGAACTCTCTCCTGGCTAATACCAACTACCCCAGCTATGAATCGTTTAGTAACTCGCCAGTCATTCATTTCAGGTGTTGCCATAGTTTTTGGTCGACCAATGCGTGGTTCGTCTTCAATGCTGTCTTGGCCACGCTTGAATTCAGCTGACCACCTTTTAATTGTGGCATATGAAGGAGCATCATCTCCTAATGTCTCAACCATATCATCATGTATGGCTTTTGGTGTTAGACCCTTTTTATGCAGATACTTAATCACAGCTCTCGCCTCGATATGGTCCATTTTCTGATAACAACAGATCCTACTTGATTGTTATGACCTGTCACAACCAAACAGTTTAACCAAATGTGATGAAAGTTTGTGACAGAGCCTGAGGAACATAATAGTGCACGTGCAAAACGTGGTATCATTGTGTTGCACAGTTTTCCAATCGAGGCTCACTACTTATCAATCACCCCTCGTATTGACCTGGTTATGAATCGTGATACGAATCATATCGTAGCAGCTCAATCACAATACATATTGTATCTTGACTGCAGTGCCAATACCCAGCATTAATTAACAAGGGAACCATGGAGTTATCTTCCCATCTACATGCTAATATATTAGACCTCGTCATGGTTTAAAACTTTGTGGGATTGTTCCTTAAGGATTCATGAAATTCAAATAATTACATTTTGTTTCTAAAAGTGATGAGTTAATATGATTTCCAATTGCTACATAAGGAATAGACTAATTGATTTATATTCTTAATAATCATTTGAAATGCATTTAGTTCCGTAAGAAAAGAATTCAGTTGGTTTGTTTCTGATTGTTTTACGACTTTCCAAGCCATTAGATATACATAATTAAATATAACCAATAAAAAACTGGATCCTAAGAAGTATGAAATGAAATGAAATGGGGTTTAACGTCCTACTGTTCTGCTCCTAACCTGGGCTAATAAAGACGGGCATACGCCACATAGTGTGCTATGAGGGAAATTTTGCCCGGACAGCGGCACTACGGCCTACTCTTATATCGAATTCCAACTGCCAAGGGATCTTTTACGTGCACACCAATGTGTACACAGGACCTCGGTTTTTCGTCCCATCCGAACGACTAGACAGCTTTCCTTGTCAGCCCCTCCGTCCTGCATCACTGACAAGGGAGAACCATGCCGGAAAATCTGGGGATCCTAAGAAGAAAGCTTTTGATCTTCAACAGTTTTTAGGAATAACTGATGGAATTTCTTTTTTTAAAGAATTCCTACATTAATTTCCAGATTCCAGATTTATACTATTATATATTCCATTGCATTAACACAACACTTTAAGGTCAAAAGACAAACTGTGCAAATTTTCAGTTTTGGCCACAGCTACAAATCTGCTAGTAATACTATTCATTGCCTGGATACAATACATTCCATAGTTAGCAATATGATTAGCTGTTTGTAAAATATTAGAACACCTAAGTAGAATGAATGGTCGAATGTTAGTGAGTTTTAAAAGTCATTAATTATATTACTACTGTAACAAATTCCAGTCCACTAAATATCTATATATATATTTGTGACTGTCGTTTGTCTGTCTGTCTGTCTGTCTGTTCGGGGTTGGCGGCTACACTAGGTCTGCCCCGAGTCTGAAATTTGGGGTATAAGGTTACCTCGGACCGGGGAGTAACATAGGCCAGGTGGCGTTACTCTACCACTTCCGGTTTTGGAGTTATGACCCCCGAGCGAAGCCGATCTGTTCGGGTTGGCGGCTACACTAGGTCTGCCCAGAGTCTGAAATTTGGGGTATAGGGGTAACTCGGACCCGGGAGTAACATAGGCCAGGTGGCGTTAGTCTACCACTTCCGGTTTGGGAGTTATGACCC